CCATCACCACTGGTGTAGTGGGTCAGTTGAGCCCTAGCAGGTCAAATTGGCAGAAAAATCACTTAGCAGCTTTGCTTGATAACTTGGATGGAAAAGTCAGGCAGAGCTAGTTTTAAGTTTGAAAGCCAATTCTGAATTAGATTGGTCTTAGCAAATTCATTCAGAAGCCCTGATGAAGTAATGACCAGGTATAAACTGAAAGGTCTGTGGTTTGAACCTATCTTGCTCACTCTGTGGGAGAAAGATAGGGCAGTCTGCTTCTGTAAATATTATTGTTGTTATGTGCTGTTGAGTCAGTTGTAACTCATAGTGACCCTGAATAGGGTTTTCAAGGAGCAGCTGGTTCTTTTGATCTGCAGTTCAAAGTCCAGTATTGATCCTACAGCAACATCGGTTCTCTGTTCTACAAGGTTGCTATGAGTCAGATGGCAGTGGGTTCGTTTTTTGTTTATCATACTCATTCACATTTCTGAGGAGGATTTGATATCAGTTAGTAGGCGAGGTGAGGTGAGGTATTGGAATTATGGGGCTTGTAGCTCATGAGAGATGGGTTTAGAGATGAGTGCAAAGGTAAGGGGAAGGCCTGTTTTGGGGGGTACCTGGGGCAGGGGTGAGAGGGATGGATGGCTTTATGGCTGTCAGGTCCTTCTGAACTGATGTGACTGGGTCCCTTGTCTCCAATGTTTTTGGTCGTGATGTGTCTTTCAGACTCCTTCTCCCTCACCAGGGTCTTGTGGACCTTTGGGTGCTTTTTGAAGATAGTGACTAAAGTGTGACTGTATGTTGGGGATGATAGTCAGACCTGGGACATTGCTGAGAGATGGCACCAGCTGCATTTGAACTTGGATGATTTCATCTCTTCCCAATCCTAGCAGTTTGCTTTGTGGGGCTCATCCTAGTTATAAAGTGCAGGGGCCTGGAGTAGATCCAGGGTGTGAAATAGCACCAGGTGATAGGCAGGGCCAGCTCCCTGCCTCCCCCTTCTCCTCTGCTTGTTTTTCAAGGGCATGGTCACTTTCCTAAAACCTTGCTGGCTTTGATTAAAGTGCAGGTTGCCCATCTGTGCCTGAGCGATGCCTGTCCCTGCAGATGGTGGGCCAAGAGTGTGGGGACATGGCTTCATATAGTAGGTGCAGAGCAGATGAGGACTGGTTTGGGACTCTGGGCTTACGATTCAGAAGCTGAATGCTTTTAACCAGTTAGTTAACCTTTCTGATTTTGTTTTTCTCACTTGCAGAATGGTGTATGATAAACATCTCAGGTCCCAGGTGCCTGGTAGCTCTCTGAGTGTCAGTTATGGCAGGTCACCTCAACTTCTCAGCCATCTGCACAGTGGTGGGCTATTTTGTCACTGCAGTTCTGTTTCTTCTTTTAAAGAATAGACTTTCTCAGAATAGCTTTGCCCAGGAGTCCCTGGAGTAGCCTGGTGTGCTCCCTCTCCCTCATGAAGGCAGGCAAATTTTGGTTAAAGATTCTTGTTAGTGCTCTTGCATGAATGCCCTCTGTCTTGTCCTTTTTTTTTTTAATGAGTGTGATTGAAGATGAAATCCCAGAAGGTGGCTCTACTATGGGCCCTCCCTTTTGCTGTCCTATGGTACTGGCACCCCCATCTTCTTCTTCCCATTTCTTTAATATTTGTTTATTTAAATCTTTATTTTTTTATTGTGAATTGAGTGAAGGTTTACAGAGCAGATCATTGGTTTTACACTCAACAAATCATACCCTTTGTTTCATTACATGGTTGCAATCCTCTCCCTGTACCAACAGTTAACAGCATATACCTCTCTTCACTTTAACCACTGCATTCCTCCCTGTGTCTCCTGCACCCCCATCTTTCCTCTGCCAACCTCCCTCCAGTTGTATATTGCCTGCCCCATCCGTCACCCATGTCAACCAACGTGTGTTTATCTTTTAGCACATGTATCATTTACTCATCCCCCCAAAAAAACCATCATAGATTGTCTTATTTTATCAAGAACCCCCCCCCCCACTTTTTGATGTACAAAAAACCCCAAAAACAGAACATGCAGGAATATATAATTGTTTAAACAACCAAAGGGCACATTCTGGAAGCCAGCCTCCTGGCCTCCAGCACACAGCCTTTATCTATCCAAGATTCTAGAGTCCTTAGCTGCTCTATCTCTCCATGTCATCACCTCTGCCTCCACCTCTGGTGTCACTGATTCTCTGGTTAGGGCTCATGCTTTTCTCTCTTGATGATCCTAGAGTCCCCTGTTCCTGGAATTTAAGATTAACTACTACCCCCTTTTTGTTACAGTTGTGATAACAATTACTTTTGAATCAAATGAATCCAACATCCCATCTCCTTTAGCCAGATCCATTTTGACAAGAGGAAAACTATTCAGTGGGGAGTCTACCTTCCCCCCGACACATTGAAAGTAAATTCCCTCTTGAAAACTTGTAAACCAGTAACTTCATTGCCCCCCTTTGAGGTTGTTGTTGTTGTTATGTGCCGTCGAGTCGGTTCCGACCCATAGCGACCCTGTACAGGGTTTCCGAGGGTGTAAATCTTTACGGGAGTAGAAAACCTCATCTTTCTCCCGCGGAGCGGCTGGTAGTTTCGAACCGCTGAGCGTAAGTAAGGTTCGCAGCCCGATTCGTAACCACTACGCTACCAGAACTCCTTTGAGGTAGCCAGTGTCTAAGTTGCCTGTACCTATCAACCCTGTGTACAGAGGGGATAGGTTTGATCCATGGAGACTCCTTCACTCTTGGTTGGTATTTTGTGCTACTACATCCATAAGTTGGAGAGTAAATAAGGAAGACCGTAGAAGAATTGATGCTTTTGAGTTATGGTGTTGGAGGAGAATATTGAAAGTGCCATGGGCTGCCCATAGAACCAACAGATCTGTGTTAGAAGAAGTGCAGCCAGAGTGCTCCTTAGAGGCCAGGATGGTCAAACACCGTTTCTCATACTTTGGACATATTGTCAGAAGGGACCAGTCACTGGAGAAGGATGTCATGTTTGGTATGGTGGCAGGTCAAGAAAAAGAGAAAGACCCCCAATGAGATGGATTGGCCAAGTGTCAGCATCAATGGACTCAAGCATGGCAACAATAGTGAGGTTGGCCCAGGATCGGGCAGTGTTTCGTTCTGTTGTTCATTAAGGTCGCTATGAGTTGGCACCAACTTGATGGCACCTAACAACAACAACAACATCCATAAGTATAGTTCAGATTCATCAAATTGCAGCAATTTACACTTGTTTCCTTTATCAAATTTCTTTATCTTCCTCTAGTCTAGTTCTGATCATCAAGCCATCAAAGCTGCGTCAGATGGGTACTATCCGCCAGTTTGGGTGTTCTCGTGTGTCTCCCCTCACTTCATATCAGCTGGACGGACACTTCACTCTTGGCTCTAGTCCTCCAGGCTAGGTCCTTGTCCATGGGCTCAGGAGTCCCCAAGTCTAACCATACTTTGGACCAGTGAGCCCTTCCTCTTCTCTCTCTCATCTCAAGCTCTACAGGAGTCTAATGGAATGTGGTCGTACTCAGCCCTTATCTTCATTGCTGCCTTTCCCCCACTTCCACTTACCAGTAGACCGATGCTGTCGCCAGCAAGCTTACATGCCTTCTCGTGTGTTCCCTTTGAGTTTCACACATCCATCATCTTGAACTTAGATCTCATCTTCCCTGCTAAACTAATCTATGCAACTCCTCCTAGCCAGAGTGCTCTTGTGATGCTTCCTAGTATCCTACTGTCCTTTTTATTTCAATGACCAATATGTTAACAGATCTTATCTTAACCCTCCAGCACACTGCTCCTAATAGCCCATGGCCATCAAGTTGATTTAGACACATAGCTAGGAGTAGAACTGCTTTCTAGAGTTTTTAAGACTGCAAATCTTTTTGGGAGCAGATTACCTCAACTTCCTCCCATGCAACAGCTTGTGGGTTTGACTTGTTGAACTTGCAGTAAGCAGGGCTCCATCTTTTTTTAATGGTGGTGGCTGTGGTGTGCCATTGAGTTGGTTTGGACTCATAGCAACCCTGTATAGGTTTTCTGAGGCTGTGAATCTTTATGGGAGCAGAAAGCCTCATCTTCCTCCCATAGAGCGGCCTGAAGATTTGAGCTTCTGCCCTTGTGATTAGTAGCCCAACTTATAACCCACTATGGTACTAGAGCTCCTTCTGCTGCTCTTAGGGACTTACTATAAGTCCTTGGTTAATTGACAACATATGCCCTGTGTAGAGTGAGGTACCTCTGTGTAAAGTGACTTTCATATATTCTGGACCCTGAGCATTATTAAGAAGTATGTCTTACATTGTGGCTCAGTGGAGCAAGAGAGAGAGAAGTGCGCATACACAGACAGGCACTACACACATACAGGTGAGACTAATTTCACTACACTTTACTGTGCACTCTGACACTTTCTTTTCTACATCGTGTTGTTGCTTGCTTTTAGTCTTGGTCGGGATCTTCTAAATTGATTGCACTTTGGGTCTGGACTGCTGTTTGAAAAATATTGGCTTGGTGAATCGTTAAACGGGAGGGTGGGAGAAAGGTGGCTTTCTGCTTGCCCCTCAGCCTGTGGTGGCACCGCTGCTGTGAGTGGCCTTAAACCCCTTCAGGGAGCAGCTTCAGAAACTGAGATGCTCACTCTCAATATAATTTGGGGGTAGAGGAATGAACACTGGGCTAGGAGTCAGTTCACCTGTCTATGCCTCAGTTTTTCATAGGGTTGTGCAGCCTATGTGAAGAGCTATGTGAGCAGAGTGAGTGTGGTGGAGTGTGGTGCCTGGTGCATGGTACCAGTTCAACAGCTCCTTGATTGAATTGCAAATCTTTCATTCTGTCCTTAGTGCCTAGGAGTGCCAAGTGTCACTCTAGAGTCCATTTGACTCTGGGCCTTTCTTATTTTCTCTCAGTCTGCCTGGATACAGGGGAAGTTGGGAAAAAAACAGTTACCTTCAGCTCAGCATTTGTGTGTACTGTGAGTGTGACGTTTGCCTCTTCTCTTCCAGTCCTGAAGGTTGGCTACCATGTTGGGGGACACCATCATGGTAATCAAAGGCCTTGCCAAGCTGACCCAGGCAGCCCTGGAGACCCATCTGCAGCACTTGGGCCTCAGCGGGGAGCTTGTCATGGCAGCCAGGTCCCTGCAGGCCACAGCTGAGCAGCAGTTCAGCATGATCTTTGGTGGGGTACAGGTAAGAAGGCCTCCTTGGCTGTAAGAGGGGTACTGGCGGGAGGAGGTTTGTAGTATTGGGTGACATAAGAGGGTGAACCTGGACCACAACCATGGTGACTGGCTTTGTAGCCTGAGCCAGAGTCCACAGGTCAGTGTGTGGGCTTTCTTGCTGTGGCCAGTGAGGGCCCTTTGTGATGCTGTGGTTCACTTTGTTTTAGCTGTAGCATGCATCACAGAGATGGAAAGAACTCCCAGCATTCCTTGTTACTCAGATTAGTGACTAACATCGCACTCTTGTTATTTAGATTAGTGACTAACGTTGTTGTTTCGTGCCATGGAGTCTGTTTGACTCATAAAGAGGCTGTACAGGGTTTCCTAGGCTGTAAATCTTTATGGGAGCAGAAAGCCTCATCTTTCTCCCGCGGAACAGCTGGTAATTTTGAACTGCTGACCTTGAGATTAGCAGCCCGATTCGTAACCACTACACTACCAGAGCTACCAGAGCTCCTTAGTGACTAGCATAGTACTCTTGTTATTCAGATCAGTGGTTCACTTGACTGAAGCCATACCCAAGTACCCAACCAGGGGGCAGGACCAAAGCCCTGTCCTGTAGGGAGTTCCTGGTGACCTCTCAGTCTGGTATATTGTTGTTAGGTGCCACCAAGTCAGTACCAACCCATAGCAACCTTATGCACAGTAGAACGAAACACTGCCCAATCCTGGGCCAACCTCACTACTGTTGCCACGCTTGAGTCCATTGATGCTGCCACTTGGCCAATCCATCTCGTTGCGTGTCTTCCTCTTTTTATCTGACCCTCCACCTTACCAAACATGATATCCTTCTCCAGTGACTGGTCCCTTCTGACAATATGTCTGAGTCTGGCATAGTTTTAGTTAAAACATAATAAATCCACCAAGAAGTAAGTTACAATCACCTGTATTTTTAAGAGGGTGAATAAAAGGAACTCTGTGATGCTTCCTTCAGTAAAGCAGTTTGTGTGGAATGGGGTTTTACATGTCTCTGTGTGTATGTGCATGTCTGTGTGTGTCTCTGCGTGCTTGCACATGTGTCTGTAAGACTTGTGGTTATTATGTAACAGGACCAGTCTCAGACCTGTGCTTTTACCTGTTGTCTGGGATGAGTTGTGGCCCTGGCCACATCATTTGGTGCCTTTTCTATTGAGGAACCTTTGCCTTCCTGCTGGGAGCTTTTTGTTTGGAAACTCAGGAAATGAGACTGCCCAGCTCACCTGGAGTTACCCAGAAGGAAGATGGAGTGCTGGACTGTGGATAGGCTTCTTCCCGAGAGGCAAAAGAGGCCTTCTGTCTGGGTTTCCTTACCTCTTCCTCTTTCCCCCTCTTCTCACCCCTCAGATAGCCTAGGGTCTTGGGGTCTGGGCAGGGCAGGTCCCCAGCACAGTCACTTAGATATAGGATGATGGTCCAGCACCATGAAGGAGGCATGTGAATAGTGTGATGACTTCCAGTGTGCTTCCTCTCACTCCCTAAACATTAGATTTTGGCGTCTACCCTCTTCCTGAGGGGACAAAGGATCAAACAACTCTAGGAACTTGTTGCCTCAGTTTCTGCAAGTATTTGTGTATGGAATCATTCAGCAGAATCTGTGGGGTTGAATAGGCATATTATAGGTAATGGTGGTGTGGGGCCAGGTGACTGTCACCAGAGGTATGGAACAAAGGGGCCCTGCCATGCCTCACATGACCCCGTCCCAAACTCTCTCACTTCAGGGTTCTCTGTTAATCTTAAGAGGTGTCCAGTGGATTGAAATATGGTTTATTTCTGCTCTGAGTAAGTTTGGTCAGGCACCCTTGTGATAACCAACTAATCCAGCCTACGATCTGGATCCCTGCTACACCTTTTGCAGGTTGTGGCCTTGACTTAATTACTTCAGCTTGCTTAACCTCAGTTTGCCAGTTTGTGAAATGAGAGTGAAAGCCAGTCTTCAAATCCCATGAGCTTTATCTTGCTGAGCGAGTGGCCGTAGGCCAGCTGTCTTTGTGTGACCTGCAGCAATCCAGTCATTATGGGCATTGGTACATGTCAGTGAGTCCAGACCACTAACCTCCCTCCAGGAGTCCACATTGCTATAATTATAGTCTCCTTGACACTGTTTCCCTGCCCTGTTAGGTCATCTTCTGTGGCCCTACATGACTGACTGTGGGGAGTCCTGCTTTCAAATGAGGAAGTAGCAGAGAGGCTCAGAAAACTCACTCAGGTTCACCTGGTGTTCAAGAGTCTAAGGAACCTAGCCAACATGAGGGACCAGTGACTATTAGAAAACATGGTATATTATGTGTCTTGGTTCCTACGGCTGCCATACCAAAAGAAATGCCACATGAATAGAAACTTTATTTTCTCTCAGTTCTGGAGATGAGACGTCTAAAACAGGGTCTCACCATGGGGATTTTTTTTCTGTGGCCTCTCCTAGTTTCTATTGTTCCTGGTCTTGTATACAATTCCTCACGTGGCATTGGTCTCTCTATCTCTAGTTTGCTCTTTTTATAACTCACAGAAGATTAGGTGTAGGACCCACCCTACACTGGTATGACTTCATTACTTTAACATAGAAAGCCCTATTTCTTAGCAGGTACAGGGCCCAAAATTTCAGTGCTTATTTTTGGGGGACACAAGTCAATCTGTAACAGTTCAGTGTCTTGTGTGTCTGTGGATGTCTCTGTGTATCTGTATGTGTCTGTGTCCTCTCACTGCCATCCACTGTACCCTGAGCTCCTGGGACTGCCTGGTTTGGCCCTAGTATGATGAACAATCTTGAGTGCCAACATTAGAAAGTAGTGCCTGGAGTGGGCACAGGGGTCCCTAGTCTGTGTGATTCCCTTTGGTTCTCCCTGGTCTTTAGCTGTGCTTTCACTTTACAAAGTTCCCTATTCCCAGTGCTATGGTTCACCTTCCCCACAGCCCCTTTGTAACTATGATTTCCAGGTGAGGAGCTTGTTCCCAGGAGAGCTGTTGCATTTGTTTACCTGGTCCCAGCTTGGCTCATGGCAGAGCTCATTGGTCATGTGGGGTTGGCTGTGAGGAGCATGTGGCAGAACCTGCAGAAGCAGGAGTAGGATCTGGGTCTTCTGGCTTTGGGGCCTGGAGCAACACTGTGTCTTCCCTTGGAGGGCTGAGAGAGCAGCAGTGTTCCCCTCATCTCTTCTGAGTGCTATTTGTTCCCTGCAGGGTCAGAATAAACATGAAGAGCCTTATGCTGAGAGCTTCGAAGACCTGGAGGCAGAAGTCCACTTCTCAGGGCCACAGGCAGCAGGAGACTCTGCAGATTTCACTGCCGTCTCCTCTCCTGACCCATCATCCTTACCACCACTGGACCAGACCTGCAGCGAGGGCCCAGCTCCTGCCTACAAGACCAGTGGACCCTTAAGTAAAGCTGGGCTCCATGGCCAGGCTGCCTCTCCTCTGAGCCAGATGAATGGGAAGTTCTTTGCAGACCACCGAGACCCATTCTCTGCCATGGGAATTCAGCAAAGATTTTTCCACCAAGACCAGTCACCTGTAGGGGGCCTCACAGCAGAGGACATTGAAAAGGCCCGGCAGGCCAAGGCACGCCCTGAGGGCAAGCCCCACAAGCAGATGGTATGTCCTGGAGGCCTGAGCGGGCTGTGTGGGGACTGTGGAGCACTATGTCAGGGTCCCTCGTGCTTGGACATCATGGACTGGGGTGTTAGGAACACAGGAGACCTCCTGCGGGCATGTGCTGTGAGACGGCTTCTGCTTCTGTGGGTAGGGATTGCCCTGTTTGCTGACCCCATGAGCTCTCTCTTTCTTCCTCCAGCTCAGTGAGCGAGCACGGGAGCGGAAGGTGCCAGTTACACGCATTGGTCGGCTGGCCAACTTTGGAGGTAAGGTGCTCTTGCAACTCCTGTCCTCACCGAGTAGAGTAGGAGTTACCCCTAGGACTTGATGGATGTGGGAGAGGGAGGGAGGATGGATCAGCCCGTGTCAGTGGCTGCTGGTGTGTGGCAGGGCTGCGGCTCCACAGTGTTTTCCACCTGGTAGACGGTCTGGTTCCTGGAGAGCAGCTCTGTTTCTGCTGATGGCTAGAGGCTGGTGTGTAGGTGATGATCCGCCTTGAAGGGCAGCTTGAATTGCTTCTCAGGCCACCCAGGGGACAGTGTCTGCAGCATCAGCTTCTTCTGCTTTAGCCTCATTGCTTCTGCAAGAAGGAGGAGGCCAGGTAGTAAGGAGAATTCCTCCCTGAGGCTTTTTAGCAACTGAATAGAGTGTTTCTTTCCCTGGAACCAGCCAATTGAGGGACCCATTTGTTGGATCCTGGAGCAGTGCATCTGTGGTAATGGTGCTGCAGCCTGTCAGCGTCCTTTAAGGTCCATTTTAATATTCTGTAGAGTGTGAGCATCATTTGTACTATTGGTTGGGCTCTTGAGTAACCATTGTGTCTCGTACTTCTGTCTTTTCTATGAGTGAAAAGATTATTTTATAGTAAAACTTATGGCAATTGTATTTAAAATACAAAATTGCTTGAAATATATATAGCATAAGATTTAGCATTTTAATAATTTTTAAGTGTACAGCTCTGAATCATTATTTACAATCATCATGTTGTTCATCCCAAAAATTTTTATCATCCTAAACAGAAACTGTGTACTTATTAAGCAATAACTCCCCATTCCCCCTTCTCCCCAACTCCTGCTAGCCACTAATCTACTTTTTTTTTTTTTTAACTTATTTTTTCACTAATCTACTCTTGTTGTTGTTGTTGTTAAGTACCGTCGAGTTGGTTCAGACTCATAGTGACCCTGTATAGGGTTTCCAAGGAACAGCTGGTGAATTTGAACTATTGACCTTGCAGTTCAAACTGATCTTGCGATCCATACATTATCCCACAGTGTCACACCAGTGCTCTCCTTTTAGCCTCTATGAATTTGCCTGTTCTAGATATTTCACGTAAGTAGACTCACACAATAATTGTCCTTTTCTGCTTATTTCACTTTGCATAATGCTGTCGGCAGTCATCCAAGATGTAGCATTCATCCAACCTTCATTTTAAATGTATGAGTAATATTCCATTGTTTGTGTCACATTTTGATTATCTAGTGTAGTGGTTACGAATCGGGCTGCGAACCCTAACGTCAGCGGTTCAAAACTACCAGCCGTTCCGCGGGAGAAAGATGAGGTTTTCTGCTCCTGTAAAGATTTACACCCTCGGAAACCCTGTACAGGGTCGCTATGGGTCGGAACCTACTCGACGGCACTTAACAACAACAACAAGTCATCTGATGGTGGACATTTAGATGACCTCTATCTTTTGGCTATTGTGAATATTGCTACTATGGACATGTATCTGCTTTTAAAAAAATAGACTTTATTGTGTTTTCAGTTGAAGTTTACACAGCAAATTAGGTTCTCGTTTAATAATTTCAACACAGTTTTTCAGCGATTCTAAATACATGCTCAGAAACATTAATGGTTGCATTTTTCAGTGTGTCAGCTTTTATTTCCATTCAGGTTGCTCTGTTTCCAGTGACCTAGTTTCTGTTCCCCTTTGCCTTCTTATCTTTGCTGTACAATAAATGTTGACCATTTGCTGTCTTATAGAGATATTTTTTTTAAAGGAGCACAGTACTAACATAAATTGTTTATTTTGTGAGCTAATCTGTTATTTAGCTAAATGGTGACCTCATGGAATAGTTTTGGTTTAAGGGTTAAGGAATATCAGAGAGCAATAGTAGTCTCAGGGAGTTCTTCAGACTCACCCTGTCCAATAAGACTGGACTTTTTAAAGAGTTTTTGAGTTTTATTTCACGTTTTGTTTCTCTTCTATCTGAATTCATCTGCTCTGTTCCTGATCAGAATGGTCTTTAGTGGTAGCTGGGCACCATCTAGTTCTGGTCTCAGGGTAGATGAGATTGTGGTTAATGTAGATTAGTTTTTAGACTAGTTTTTTTCTCTGAATCTTTGGTTTCCTTCTTTTTTATTCAGGACACATAAAGAACAAAAATTGTGTCTTACATGACCACTTGCAAGCTTTTAAGACCTCTTACCTATACTCAGAAAACCAGGATGTAGTATTTAAACTTTATGTACCCTATTATAGCAATTGATTGAGTTGTCTCCTGAGACTGTGGTCCTGAGCCTTTACAACCTATAAACCAATCCTATAAGGGTGGTGTGTAATTAATTCTAAGAAGTATCTGTGCGCCCTAAAACACTCAGTGTGATAGATTAACACAATGACTGCAACAGTGGACTCTAACATAATGATTATGAGGATAGCAATGTTTCATGAGTTGAAACTGACTCGGTAGTACCTAATAACATGTGCTTTATTGATTATATGTATATATATGGATACATATGCTTGCATGTGGAGTCCTGGTGTGGCACTGTGCCTAAATATGCTAGACTTGAATCACAAAGTCAGTGATTCAAGTTCACCAGTTAATCTGAGGAGACCCTATACAGGGCTGCTGTGGGTCGTAACTAATTCAACAACACTTAGTAGCAACAACAGCAACATGTTTACATATATACCTGGGGGCTTCAAAAGTTTATTAAAACATTCCACTGCCTTTTAACTCCATGTTTCAAACAGTGAACTTTTTGGAATCCCCTTGTATACATGTGATACAGATACATCTGTATATCACATGGAGTCCTGATGTGGTGCTATGCGTTAATGCGCTGGACTGCAAAGCTGTTTGAACTGAAAGGGCAGTTGTTTAATCACTAGCTGCTCTTCAGGAACCCTATACAGGGTCACTATGAGTCAGAATCAACTTGACAGTACTTAACAACAACATATATCACATACACAAATTTATATACTTACACACATGTAAACCACACTCATGTTTTTTACTTCTTGCTATTGCAAAGTATATATGAGAGGGCTTCAGAAAGTTCATGAAAAAATGGGATTGAAAGGTAATGGAATTTTCCCATCATTTTTGTTAAGTCCCCTTGTATGTCATAGCATTTCCCAAAAACATCCTTTTTTGGTTGGGTATGTCTTAGTTACATCATTTACTTTGGTCACTTAACCCACATCTGGTGTTACCTTTCTGTCTTAGGCTGGATTTTCTAGAGAAGCAAAACCAATGAAACATATGTATTTATATATATGAAGAGAAGTTTATTATCAAGTAAATAAATGGCTCACAATTGTGAAGTCTCAGGTCCCCAGCCGAAGAGAAAGAGCTAGAGCCTTTCCCAAGTGTCTGTTATTGGGAGCATGCTACACTTCCAAGGAATCATCCCTTCAGTTGATTGGCTGCTCATAGCCATTCATCATAGAGTTAACTATGCCTGTATTAGGTTTCCTCACCATAAGCGCATCCTAAGTGCTAAACTGTGAGAATCCTGGCCTAGTCAAGTTGACACAGAACCCCTAACTATTACACTTTGCTATCACCAAAAATAAAAAGTGCCTACTATCTGGAGTCCTGGTGTGGTGCTGTGGGTTAATATTCCAGCCTGCAAAACCGTTTGAACTGCAAGGTCAGCGGTTCAAGCTTACCAGTTACTCCTTGGAAGCCCTATACAGGGTCGCTATGGGTCGGAACAGACTCGACGGCACTTAACACCAACAACTATGTGGAGAGTGATTACCACTTACCTTTCCCTGGTAACCACAAGTGAATGTTGGCTTCAGTATGCATGTGTACCTATTCTTGTTTTTTTATAATAGTGATATCATTTTGTATTTGTCCTTTTTTTGATTGGCTTATTTTACTTAGTATAATGTCCTCTGAATTCATTCACATTAGAATATATTTTGAGAACTTACTTTTTTTTATGATTGCATAATGTTCCATTGTGTGTGTGTGTATACCACATTTTATTTATACAGTCATTCACTTACAGGTACTTACTTATTTTCATCTTTTGACTGTTGTGAATAGTGCTGTAATGAACATAGGTCTGTTTAAGTCACTTCTAGTAGATTTCTAGGGTACGGAGCTCTAGAGTATAACATAGTGGTTATCAGTCAGGCTGCCAACCTTAAGGTCAGCAGTTTGAAACTACCAGCTGCTCTGCGGGAGAAAGATGAGGTGTTCTGCTCCTGTAAAGATTTACAGCCTCGGAACCGACTCCACAGTACTTAACAACACACCTGGAAGTGGAATTGCTCGATCATAACGTAGGGAGTTCAAGTGTTTTGAGGACTTGCCATAATGCTTTCCATTATGACTCCAGCATTTTACAGTCCCACCAGCAGTGGATAAAGCTTCCATTCTCCCCACATTTGTTGTTGTTGTTAGGTTTGCCAGTGGTCTGTCAATTTTGTTAATCCTTTCAAAGAACCAGCTTCTTGTCCTGTTGATTGTTTTCTATAGTTTTTCTGTTTTCTATCTCATTTATTTCTGCTTTAATCTTTATTATTTCTTTTGGTGACTGTAGGTTCCCTCTGTTGGTCTGTTTGTAATTGTTGGAGATGCTGTGTTAATGTGTTAATTTTGGTTCTTTCTTCTTTTTGGATGTGTGC